ATATATATATATTTGATTTAAAATATATAACTTGATATGAATTGTAGGTGATGGCTGTGGAAGGGATGCACGAAAGCTCTTTGTAACCAATTGACACACACTTTACAATTTGCAATGGAAGATATTTTTGTGGTGTTTGTTGTGTTTTTGTCTGTTCTTGTTTATCCAAAAATAAAAATATTTTAAAAAACTAGTGGCATTTTCAAGCACTTTTACCAAGTTGGTGCCAATGTTGCTATGCACAACTTTTGAAATCTGGGAACATACCTTTGGAATTGTCACAAGGGGGCTTACACAGAAATTGCCGCAACATGTTGCATTCTTTTCCTGCTGGCGCTTTGATGACTTGCGGCTTTGTTACAGTAGCAGGTATGTTATCCTGAACATCTGGAGTTCTCTGGAGCTGAAAGACTTTTTAAAAAGATTTCTAATTAGCTGACAAGCAAATGGGGAGAGATGTATATAAAGAAACGCACATACAGGAAGCTCTATTGTAGCACTTTAAAAAGAAATGCAAAAAGACTTCTTTTGCAATATTCCTAGAGGTTTTCCAATCCCTGTTGAAGCACGAGATGAGACCCTGTACTAATGCGGACAAATTTCTTCTTAAAAACCTCCAGTGATGATATATACCGTACCTACAATTTCTGAAGGCATTCCATTTCTCTAATTGTTCTGTCAAGAAATGTCATAAAATTTCATAAAATTCATAAACCTACACTCAAGTCAATTATGCACAGGATTACACTGCCATGTGCTATATAGAGAGATCCAGTACAATAGATTGGAAAATACAGATATCTAGACAAATAAAAGGAATCTGATTCAACCAGAGCGGTATCTTATGATCAGCAAAACTCAGAACACATGTAAAGCCATTATGAAGATTCTCCAACTGACACTAAAAACACCACTGAATCCTTCTGCAGTTCAGGATTACAGGGGGAATTACACTCAACAAACAAGCAAATTAAAACTCCAGATCTGTGCTACTTTCATTAGAAAAACATAATTCACCCCCCATAGGAAGTATTTTGTCACCCCCTTCCATTATTGTTTCCATATTCTCAGGTTAAATAGGGTGACTTAACAGCTAATTAATATTAATAACAGACGCTTCCCCAGCACAAGCCACCACCATCTCTGGGCAACGAAACCAACCCCCCCTCCTCCAGCACCATACCATCTTCGCCTCACAGGCAGCACAGGGAGGCCTCATCCCAAGCCCACTTCTCCCTCTCCATATTTCGCCCTCGGGATCTCACGGAAGCCGGACGTTTGGAGCTTCCCACCCACCCGCTTTCCCCACCTTGGCCAGCCAAGGTTGGCAGAATATGCCTGAGGGTGCTTCACCTCACTGTGATCTGAGGGATGTTCTTGCTTTGGTAGGACATCTTCCCCTTGACGCCACACCTGCAGTGCGGGAAGGAGAGCAGCAGAGGCAAAGTAGCCTTTCTGGGCTCATCTGAAGAAGTCCGTCCTCCCCCCCCACCCCCGGCTTCCTTCTCTTTGAGAAGCAGTTTGCAAAGTCCCGTTTTTTCCAAGCCACTTGACAAAGAGAAAGAAGTGGTGGAGAAGGGCTTTTTCAAACAAGCCCAGGCCAGAGCAGTGTTGTAGCCCGATCCAGCCTGGGTTCATCTGAAGAAGTAACCCCATGCTTCCTTCTCTTTGAGAAGCGCCCCGTTTTGCAAGCCGCTTGTCAAAGAGAAGGAAACACCCGGGGGCTTCTTCCAACAGCCGAATCCTCCACTCCTGTTCCTTCCTCGGCTGTTGGAAGAAGTGGGTACACACTTTCTTCTCTTTACAGCCGCCTCGTTCTAATGGGGTGGGGAGAAAACCATGCATTAGAGGGAAGAGAAGGCTGAGCTTCTTCTAGGGGCTGCCTTTCCCCCCTCTCTAAGGCATGGATTTCTCTGCACCCCATGGGAAACGAGGTGGCTGTCAAAGAGAAGGAAGGCTTCTTCCAACAGCCGAGTCCTCCACTCAGGCAAAGGAAGTGGGTGGGTGGGGCAAACATGGTGCGGACAGGGTGGACAAGAGAGAGAGAGAGCAAGCGGCAACCAGGGGGCAAGCCAGGGGAGGGACCGCACCAGTACGGGCCTGCGGGGGGCCTGGTACACAAACGGATTTCCACTACTGGTACGCGTGTACCAGGGCATACCGGTTGGAACCCACCTCTGGTATGTTCTATGTTATCCAATTCCTTGGCTTTCCTATCAATACAAGGAAGGCAAGAATTTTTAGCTAGCCTCTGTGTGGGTGGATCGTTTTCCATTAGTAGTCCCTGTGGCTTTCCTTGGTTTAAGTAAAGGTTCCCTCGCACATATGTGCTAGTCGTTCCCAACTCTAGGGGGCGGTACTCATCTCCATTTCAAAGCCAAAGAGCCAGCGCTGTCCAAAGACATCTCCGTAGTCATGTGGCCGGCACACAGAAAGTTGTTACCTTCCTACCAAAGGTGGTTCCTATTTTTCTACTTGCATTTTTTACATGTTTTCAAACTCCTAGGTTGGCAGAAGCTGGGACAGGTAACAGGAGCTCACTCCATTATGCGGCACTAGGGATTCAAACCACTGAACTGCTGACCTTTCTGATCGACAAGCTCAGTGTCTTAGACACTGAGCCACTGTACCCCCTTGGTTTGCATATAGGCAAATGAAGACTCAATCATCCAGGCCAAAAGTATCTTTAAAATGTTATATCAGGG